TCAAACTGTCTAAAAACAAAACTTTTTCATCTTTTATTTCAAGCACTTGTTGAAAATGCTCAAATTTGACTTTATTTTTTTTCCTCACAGAGTAAGGGAATATAAGTACAGGGTTTCAAATTGAAATTCTAATGTCTCCAGTGACTAAAGAGTCTTCTTAACATACAGGTCAAACCCAAACAAAGAACTTGTGGTGTTGAGGCAGGAAATCCTTTATGGGGTCTCCTGTTGTAGGGGGAAGTTACACTCAGGCAGAAACGGGAGCAGCACAGTACCTGGTTTCTCAATTAGCCTAAAAAAAAAGAAGAAAATAGCAGACTGAAAGGGCAAATGTCTCTGCTTTTCACATTTTCAATTAAAGCTTGAGGCTTGATCTAAGGTCCTTAATCTGAGTCCTTGTGCACTGTATGATCAGATAATTAATGACATGATGTCTGGGATATTTTTGTTCTATAAACTCTTGGTTGATCTGAGTTTAGAGTTAATAAACCAGTGGTTTTAATATTAAAAAAATGTTTAAAAGTTATTGAGAGTTCAGCATTTTAATGACGTACATATAAATCTTTTATTTTCCGACAATGGGGAGATATGATTACCCCTATAGTTTCTGAATTTAAAAAAATAAATAAATAAGAGAAATATGCAGTTGTTACATTATTATAACATGTGTTACAATCCTATCTCATTAAAACTATTAAAGGAAATGAAACTAACAAACACTAAAATAAGTGTGAATGTGTAAAGGACTTGCATATTTCTAAGACGTGGAGGTAGAAATTAATGAAATGGCTACAAATGGCTGTTCAAGGAGGAAGACTTGAGGAATGATCGAACTAAAGTTTTTCACACGCTACAATTTGAACATGCATTTTATGTTGAAAAAACGATTAAACGTACCAGACTCAGAAAAGTCTGATAACTATCACACTTCTCATTTTGAGCTATAAGCAGTTGGTCTCAACAGAGATGCTTGTGACCTACATCGCAATCTGATCTGAACAGCAGCTTACTTTATTTTGATATGCTCGTTGTCTGTATAGAAGAAAAAAAAAATAATGGACTAAAGGCTTAAGGTACAGTATTTAGAAATCTATTTTCTTGTTTGGGTTGTGAGCAGGAATAATCTGTGAATTTACAGCAGGTAGAAGTCACGTTAACGAACACGTTCGAACAAACTGAGTCAAGTTTTGTTTAATCCTTCTGAATTGTGGGGGCATGTTGAAATTTGATAAATTCATTGTCGATTTATGTGTTTTGAGATATAAAAGATTTAAAAAATTACAGAAGTTTCAGATAATGGTAACAAATTTCTCTCCCCCAAAAAGCAGCCAAATATCCAGTGAATTATTTCTACAGCCAGAGAGATTTATAAAATTACAAAGTGGTACCACAGCCTTTTTATTTAAGATGATGAGTCTGAAAGACTGGTTTGGTCATTGAAATGCAACTTTTAAATTAATTCTGATTAAAACTTCAAATATAGTCTGTTTTCGAGTTGTAACATGTAAGATTGAGGTTTCCAGTTGCAAAGGCCATAACTTTAAGTTAAATATCTTTTTCACAGCATGTACAAACTGAGCATTGGTGATAAATCACCTTAGATTTACACGACAAAAGGTGATTTCTGCTCAGAAAATTCATTTGGAACTAGGAACACATACCAGTGTTCTAGTACACATAAAAACTATATACATTTCACAAGCCGCTGTAATTATTCCAATATCCACAGTGAACAAATATGTTGTGGTATAACTATGTTGCCACTGGCTAAAGCCATGAAAAACCAAATGGGAAACCACAGACATATTTTCTGTTACTTTAGAATTACTTTTGGTGCTACAAATGAAAACAGAAACCAAACCCGCGTGGTCCTGGGGGAAATCCGAAGGTTATTATCCTGAGGGAGCCCCCAGAACAGTTTGTTGGAAAATCCCTGCAATTCTCTAGAAAATACTTTCCTATATCACAATAAACAGTAGAAACATGTGTCACTAAAAACAGGGAAACAGTGCGGTCATGTCCTGCAAATTCAATCTCTCTCATAAATGACATCCGACTGCCGGTTTTATCTGATCCCAGACCTGCCTTTTAATCATGAAGAGAAGCCCCATCTTTCTGTTGCAGCCCATTAATCTCCCAGTTAAATTTAATATGAGATGATTGCTGCTTTTTAATAATTCACAAGAAAAAGAATCAGGTGGAGAGCAGTCATAACGTGTAAGGGAAGGCTAATGGCGTGTAAAACCTCAACGTATGGATTTTTATTATATACAGCAATATTTTGATATTTTATTCTGAAACCAATAATGCTAAAGGGGTGCAGGACTATGCTGCACATTATGTTACCACCCTGATGTATCTAAGACCAAATCAGTTTCTCACTGGCTACTCTGCAAAAGCATCTTCATGCTGCAGTGTGCAGGCAGGTTAACTGTCTTTTTGCCCCTCAGTCTTGCATACAAACGCTATGGAGCATGCAGCACACCAACACACTCCTAGAACATCTATGTACTCATCCTAACAAGGGCTCTTGTTTCCAACCACACACGGTGCTACTTACTTTATATGAGATCTAGCTTTGTAGAAATTCAGCAGCAAATAAGTTTTCACTGTCATTCATTTTCTGCTTTGTGTACAGTTTAACAAACCCCTGTGTACATATTTACACATTAAGCATGTCATATTATCATTGGCTTGAGTAAAAACAGGTGAATCTAAACAAAAAGTTGCTGTATTTTAATTATCATAATTTCCCGTATCAATGTATTGCTTATGCTTATTATGCTAAATTTAAAAGTATCCTTTCCATGTTTTCCTTTTGTTTTTACCTATCCATAAAATCTTGATTTCCTGTTACAGACCCCATATTCGGGAATGAAACCACATGTGGCTGATCAGGGGTTTCTAATCCAGCACCAAATTAAGAACTGATTTTCAAACAACAATTTACAAATGGTGAAATGAAAAATACTCAGTTCAATTTAGAGTTATTTAGAGTAAATACATTCCAGGTGTAATCTTGCTTTTTATCTGCAAAATGGGAGCTGCTTGAATCATGCCATTAGCTGTATTATGACAAGCTTTCCTTTGCCAAAAATAGATGAAACCCAACAAGCCCCTAATCCTCTTGAGAGGACTGCAACCCTCTCCAGATTCAACAGGTGGTCTTGTAAAAGATAGCACTTTTCCCGGATCCAGTCTCTGCTGTGCCACTTATGCTGATTGTCTTGGCTCTGCAATAAATCTTTATGCGAGACACAGGAAACTGGTGTTCCTGTGTCCAATCAATTCATACACGTCTGATGGGTCCATGCTCAAGAAACCTGAGATGACTAGATGAGATCCTTAATTTGGAGGATTGGGATGTCAACAAGATTAAGTTTTCTGCCTCCCTTATAAGCCGCTAAGACGATGAAAATTTTAAAAAAGTAGTCATACAGGTGGAACTATTTTCAGATTGTATCACCTTGGAAAAATAAATCTGTGCTTTTGTTGTTATAAATGTATATAATGTTATAGACCAAGAAAAATGTTTATTTACTGCTGAACTGAAAGGGAAACCACCATTTTTTACAAGTCATGCTTTGCACTGAAAAAAGTTATGTAACCGCTTTTGGTATTTACTTAATCATATTTAGTTACTTTAACACAATTGTTTTAAGTCCTATCCTGTTAACATGAAACAATTGTGTTTAAGTAAGTAAGTATTATTAAGTAAATGCCAAAAACTGTTGCATTATTTTTTACAGTTCCCTCCTTTTTCTTTCAGATTTACAAATATAAATTTACATTAAAAAAAAGTTTTTTAAATAGAAAATAACCCAACTGTGTTTGTAATTTCATTTTACCACAAATCTTGCTTTCCTTTGAAGGATTCCAAGAAATTATGTTGAAGACCAAGGGAGCACAGCAGGTGGTCCCAGGAGAGGTTTGATGCAAAGCAAGGTTAGGTTATAAAAATATATCCTCAGCTTTGAACATCTCACTAAGCATTGTTCAGTCCATCTTTAGAAAGTGAAAAAGTCTGGCACAACTGCAAACCAACTATTCCCCTTCATCTAAACTGGAAGACTATAGAGATAGTAATCTGGAAAAAATGTAGAATAAGTTTTGACGAGTTATAGCTGTTTTTATTTCTTTTTATATTTGTATTTTTCATTGTAGAATGCTTACTGTTGTGTGTTTTTTTTAGGTAGACAACTTTAAGATCTGTCCAGGGACAACAGATGAAAAATAGCCTTTTGGCTTATTCTTGTGCATTTGTAGGAAAGCTTTTTCATGTACACTGTCCCTGTCAAATAAATAAATAAATTTAATTTAATTTAAAGCCACAGTGGAATTAATCATATTTAACCCTTTTCACACTCAAAGATCTCCATTCGATCTGGTTGAGTCTTTATATGTGCAATGCCTCTTTTTAATAATAAAATAATCTTTTTAATAATTTAAAACTATTTGTGTTTGTTCAAAACTATGACTGCTACTGTTCATGAAACTTTGGCTTTGTTCTTTTTTATCGCTGTATTGTTATAGGTCAGTAGATAATCAAAGTCAATCTGCAGATGAGTATTTCTCCTGTTTGTCTCTCTCTCTGTTCTGCTTTTCCCTTTTGTTGGTCGTGATGGGCTCCAGCAGGGGGTCCAGACTGGCTCTGAAGCCTTTTTCCATCACTCTGTCACCCAGAAACAGGAGCAGACCTGGGAAAGCAGCAGGGCAGGGGAAGCATACACCCAGACATCAAAGAGCCTTCTGATCAAGATTGATTCCTGCATTAAAAAAAAATACTTGAGAGTCATGCATTGGTAAAGATCTGAGAATTTTCAGCAGATTATATTTTTGTGTATATTGCTTCAAGTAAACTGAATATAATGACAGCAAAGCAGTGTAGCAGGTTTAATGAGAATCTGCCAGACTGCATGGCTGCTTAAAAGGAGCTCCTCCCACCTTCTTGTGCTCTCCCCCCTTTGACGCTGCAGCAGAGGACTTCAGCTGTTCCCCAGCAGCATTTCACCTCTGCACAGATCAGCAGCAGCAGCGGAGGCATGCAGGGCTGGAGAGCAAAAGCAAGCAATACCCCTGCAACGAGCAATACCCCGGCTCTGTAAACGCGAAGGACAGTTGGATACTGAGCACACGAGGAATCCGGGAATCATTTATCCCTTTTTTTCGGATATCTTTTTATTTTATTATTAATTTCTCAGAGGAAAGCTTTTGTGTTGCCAGGGAGGAGAAAGTCCGGGCAGGTAAGCAGGCAGCAGGCAACACAACCTTGGCCGCAGTATGTTGGTGCTGCCTTTCCCCTACTTCCTTTATTTGATCTAATAGTATACTCTATCACACCTACTGGTTTAATGTGGTAGAAACGTAGCGTCATTAATTGGATACATTTTGATATATTAAAATTAATATAATAAATTCCCCTTTACAATAATGACAGAGCGCTGTTTTAGTTAATATCTCTAAAAACAAAGCTGTTTTATTCATTTTGCACACACTCAACCACCTTAATATTTAGACTTTTATTTATGTTGTCATTTTGTATGTAAACAAAAAGAAATTTCATTAAGAACAGCTTAAGACAATTAGATATTTTAAAGTGCAGCTTTGAAAACAGTAATAAATACATAAAAAATGAGAATATAAACATATGACTGTATATTTACAGTTTTTACATCATTTTTTTAAATAAATAAAATAACCCATTTTACATTACATTCATACAAGATAATACGTGTTGTGTGTAATCTAATAAAAGTTTATTCAGATGCTGATGGATAGGAAAAGGCACTATTATTTGGGAGTTTTGAGAAAAGTTTTGGCGCCCCCCTCCAAACACACACACACACACACACACTGTCTGTCTCTATGAGGGGAGAACAGGTTGCACCCCCCTCCCTCCCTCTCTCCCTCCTGCTCAGTGAATGAAGGGGCTGCTGTGTGGGGAGAGCAGGCGTGACAAATGCAGCTCGTTCAATGTGTGTGTGCACACACTGATGTGACCTGGTTATCAGACTGGAACATGGACAAATGGACGTCCAATTACTGTGATCATGAATGAATGAATGGACTTTTTTTTTTTTTTTTTGAGAGGGGATGAAGTCCAATTAAGCTTTCTGGACACTGCAGTATACAGACAAAAAGTCTCAGGTGACCTGAGGATCTGGTGCGTGCATGCTCGTTGCTTTATTATTCGCAATAGGTGTAGTTTTGACTGTTTCACTTGGAGTATTGAGATAAAGCCTCTGACCCTTACTGTCACAGGGATACGGGTATGGAGGGCATAAATTTAGCCTTAGGTAATGCATTTAACGCAAGACTTGAAAACCTCCTTGTAACAGACAACATGAGGAATGCGGAAGGCACATCAAACTTTGTGATCTATGCTTCAGGTGGCACCAAAAGCTATAAATTCCACACCCACCCTCCAGCCAGAGACTTCTGACATGCTGTCGAAAGATTTTTTTTTTTTTATCCGTCAGGGCTTGTTGCAAGGCTTTTTTCCCCTCTCTGTCTGTGTGTGTTTTGCCAGAGGAAGTGAGAAATGTTGGACCTTGAGCTTGAGAAGGTGAAGGGAATGTAGAAGTTCAAACAAGAACATCCAAACACAGAGAACAAGCAACACTGTTTGACAGTCCAAGCCTTGTAAAGTTTATTTTCAGGCAGCTGAGATTGTAAAGTTCATGACAGGATCTTGTCCCTGCAATGGTATTCCAAAATCATTTGTATCTCTGATCAGCTATTTCTTGGCATGACTTGTGTGCAACCTATGACGAGATATTGGGCAACTCTGCTTCCTCTGTTGTCGCAGGAACGGTTAAACAAACAGTGAGCTTGTGGGTTCTTTCCTGCTCAAACTGAGTCAGAAAGAACAAAGAAAAATGTAAACAGGCATTATCTTTACTGACAGAAAAACTCCTTAAGACTACTATAAGATTAGCAGATCTCAAGATTGTTCCGCTGGTGCCATGGGTTATCAGGTATTTTTATCACCAAACACTTGATTTTATTGATTTCATTCCACAAAGTCATGATTTTGTAAATGCACTATTGAATAAAACTCACTGGCTTGCTTTCAGAAGGGTTTTGCTTATCAGCTCTGTTTCTCTAATGTTCAGCACTTAAATGAGCTAATGTTTTACTGAATGGCACCTTGTTGAGAAGCAATTGTTAAGATCATTAAGAGACCCCCAGTTTCAAGAAAGCAAACAATCCCTCTGAAATGGTGTTCCTCACCCCACTGTCAGTCAAGTCAAACATGACCTGACCACTTGGAGGATGAGGGGTGTGTGTGTCTCTGGGTTTGTTTGTCAGGAATAGTGGACACATGTGGAGTTGGAGATTCGGGTGTGTTTTTGTGCACAGTAGTGGGGGCAGGGAGATTGATCTGGGTGTAAGATTCACCCTTGTGAGACTTGTGCCTTTAGACATTCCTAACATTCCGACCTCTGGATGTTTGAGGCTCTTTGGGGTTCTTCTTGTTTGTCGGGGGGCTGCTGAGAACTCTTTGTAAGGCTTTCATGTTGCTGGGCTCATGTCGGCAAGCCTTTTGGTTGAACAGAGACCACATGCCCTCTAATTTAGGAGGCCATGGGAACATATAGCACAGCACATATTTGGTGTTCTTAAGTTACATCTGGGGATGACCCTAAAGTTCTTATCGCCTTGCATTTAGGGAGCAGGTGTCTCTGGATTTATTTCTCCATTTGAGTTTTTGTTCTAAGGTGCTTTGTTTTGTAAAACTGAAAAGTCATTAGCACCAAATGTGAAGTATCATTTGTTTTAATTGTTCTTTCTAGTGGTCAAAATGAACATGATCTAACTTGGTTTCTATCTTCTGATGTTCTTCTTCACCAGCCATGAGAGCTCATCATCTGTCTGTCAGATTCCTTTTCCAACTCCTCTGAACATATCCGTCTCTCAGCAAACCGAAGATGTCAGCCTGCGGCGACTTTGCAGAACACGTGTGGAAACCTGGCTCTTGTAAGAACTGCTTCCACCCGCTCAGTGCACATAAGACTGGCCACGCCTCAGATGACAACGTCTCGTCTGGGTGTTTGAAGATCAGCCTGGGAGGTGATGAGGAGGGGGGAGTAACTGCACCTTCACCCTACAGCAAGCCAACCATTGCTGTAAAACCCACCATGATGAGCTTTGACACAAGTGAGACAAAAGATGTGAACATGAACATAGAACAGGTGAGCTTCTAAACTACTTGTCCATTCAAAAGTTTGATCATTTTCATTGTTTTTAACATGGTCAAATTTTTTTCTTTGTTTCAGGACAACCAAAAGAGTCCAACTGAACGAATGGGTCTGAAGAAACTCCTAAACATGCCATTGCTCTATATTGATGATAATAATGGTTGCATCAAGGCCCATAAAGAGGTTCTTCAAAGCCCTGATGCCAAGATTAACTACAACAGCTGCCTCTCCTTGTCCCCCAGCATTGTGCCCAAAGACTCTTTCTTAATCAGTAATGTTTTTGTCAGCCAGGAGGAGGGAAGGGGTTCAAAGAGTTTCAAGAAAAATGCCAATGGGGACTCATGCTGGCAGCAGAATAATACGGCTGCTATTGCACCAAAAAGCACTTACAATGGAAGAGGAAATTTGATTGAGTCCCATGAATCAACAGTGGAGATTCCTTTATCGATGGATCCTGTTCCTTCTGAACATACAGTTCCTTGCAACCATGTATGCAGTAGTAGCATTATCACGAAAACATCCAGTACTTCCACTGCCTACACCACAGCATCAAGTATGGATACTACAAACCAAACTAGTCAAACTTCCCTCAGTCCTATTCCTGCCCTGTCTAAAGACAACAGCTTTTCGGATTCACCTTCTTCCTGTCACAGCAGTACGGATTCCCTCCCTGGACCTAATGGATCAGTAGAAAAACAAAATGAGTTAGTGAGTCCATCAAGCACGGTTAGTCCAGAATCAACTCCAAACTCTCCCAGTGTTCAAAAAGACTCTGAGCCAATATATGCTGAAAGCACCAAGAGAAAATCTAGACCACCAGGAAATGGACCACCGTCAAGCCCAGAGTCCCAAAACCAGATTAAGCAATCCAAGGTTTCCGAGTCTGAGGGCTCTGGAGAGAGTAAGCGAGCCACCATCACTGTAATGGCTGCTCACACAGAGGAGAACAACAGAACTTTCTTTCTGAGCAGCCCAGATTCAGGAGTTGGCACCCAGTGCCACTTCAGCCCAACATCACGCAAAGACCCCAGCAGCCCAGCTTTCCGTTGGCCCAGTCCAAGCCACAGTGCAGCTTCTCAAGGAAGAGAAGCTTCATTGTCCCCAAACCTGCATCCAAAGCCCCAATCTAGTCCCCCCATTCCTCCAAAGAGAAGCTCTCGCTCCCCAAAATTAGGAACCTCTAGTCTGTCACCATCTATGTCTTCTCCAGTCCTCCTTCCTGAATTTCCCAAACTTGGCACATCTAGTCTTACAACATCCATGTCCTCTCCTATCCCTCTACCAGAACTCCCCATGCTTTTCCTTGTCTCTGCAAGAGAGGGACACTTCAAGGGCCCTACGGACAACCAGAGTGCAACATCTGAACGCTTGCATAAGTCCAGCCACCACAGTTCTGGTTGGAATTGTCGCATTGAGGAAGAAGAAGAGGTGGAAGAGAGGAAAGGGGTGGAGAAGAAAAAGTTATTCGCCGCCAATTCAGGAACAACCTCCCAGGAGTCGGGGCTCATCAATGGTGCTGCTGTCTGGAAAGAGGCCAGTGACTGTAAGACCCACAGCAGCCCCCCTCCGATGACAGAGCCAGGCACGGCCCCCCCTGCTACCACCAACAATGATGCCTGTCAGGGGGAAACCGAGGGCACCAGCGCAGAGACAGAGGGCAAGCATAGCGACAGCATGCCGACCAAGCAACCGTTGCATGGAGGCTCATCAGAGTTACTGGCAGGAGGAAAGGGAGCTCCCAACCATGACCCCAACCCACCACCTCCCCCACCTAAAAAACTGCACAGGTAAGAATAGCAAAGATCTTGTTAGAATTTTATGCTCATGTTAGGTAACATTCTGTATAGTGATCACAAACATTCCCACTTAATTTAATTATCCCTAGTGAACTGTAAAAAATGTCAGAGCTAGTTTCCTTTTAGAAAGTATTTATTTGATCAAAAATGCTCAAGAACAGGCAAGCAGAAGTTAGTAGAGGCAAGTTGAGTCAGAACTAAGTAGAAAGTGAAGTTGAGGTGTGGAAGTATATTTTTAGATGTTTTACCCACAATTAAGAACCCTGAAAATACAAGCTGCACTTTTTGTCAAATTTTGGGTTTGGCATTTTTCAAACTTGTATTTTTGTAGCAGCATAAACAATCTTTATGCTCGAGGTGGGCAAAATCATACAAAATCTGACATTTTGAAAAGGGGTTTGTCTAAATTGTTATTTACCTTCAGAAGGGAGTGTTATCAAAAACGCATTGGATGTTTGAAGACAATTTAGATGTCATTGCCCATATGAGTCTGTTTTTTCCACTATTGCATACACAAGCCTAACTAAGAAAATAGCTACACCACATAATTTAGCCTTCTCCCTGTGCAGTGGGTCTAAATTCAGATAGGGGGTTTGCTCTCATGTTTGACGGTTTGTCTGTGTATATATAGCTGCTTTGCTGCCCCAGTGTACACTCTCCCTGCTAGCACTTACTGTAAATGCACCTTACTGTGGTTGCCACCATGTGGATCTTCCAGTGCCTTCTCCTTTCATAGCATCATTATTCAGCCTTGAATATGCCTCCGTTCTGATGCTGTGTGATCATTCAAACCATTGGGGAATAATCCTCAATGCATGCCTTGTTCAGTTCCTACTGGCATTGTGACTTCTTCAGTTCTAATTAATGCACAAAATAAGCCTGGTGGACGGTCCGCTGCTGTGTCACGTTGCTGTAAACTGTTTCGGCTCTTGCACAATGGGCCTCATTGTCAAATAGACTTTTTATTCAGTTTCTGTCAGATAAAAAAAAAATGTTGAGATAGTGCCTTTTCAAATTAAACATCATATTTGCACTGTATTTATATTTGAAGTCAAAACATTATTAGCATTAAGAAAGTTTTTCCTACTTGATGCCTTAATTTTTCCAGTTACCATAGGGATAAAATGCATTCTTCTTTCTGTGCCAGCACCCACAGCATGAAAAAAAAAAGAGAGAGTATCAGCCCTTGGTTTGATTTTTATGAAAAGCAACAAATGTTTATCTCAAAGTAGAAGATGTGCTGAAAATAAGCCCTTTTCTAAGGGTTAGAGTGTCTTAATTGTTTCTGTGGAGTAGGAGGAGGAGGCCCGATTGGGATATAATATCTTCCTTAAAAGCAGCATTTATCCAGCGGCACAAATTAAAACAAATAGATAAAAGCTATGCTTTAAAATATACATATTACCAGTCACCAGGTTTCAGTTGCATCTCCATGATGCAAATCTATATCATGAAAGAGGTGCTCCATCGGACTAAGATCGGATTGGGTTTGGAATAAAGGGAACTCAAGATGTTTACATTTCTGGCTTTGTACCAACAGTATAGTTGTCATCTAGCTCATGTATGGACTGTAGTAAACTTAGTTTGGCTAAATGTGAAGACTACGTGAGAATTGGTTTTGATGGATGTATAACAAATTTGACCTGCACTTAAAAAGTGTTAGAAAAAATTTATATATACATTTTGTTAAAATAACGTAGAAATTTCATATGAAAAATATATACATATATATAAAAAAAGAAAAAAACAACATTTCATTCCTTATAAAAGAATGTCCAGCTTTGTAAACAGGGACTTAAAACCTTTTTACCTATCTGCTTTAGGGTTCAACATTTGCTCTTCGAGAAGTTGTCAAATTATAAGCGTAACAATGTTTCACATTGTTGTCTCTCACTTATTATTCTCCCTTTTTTTTGGACAAGCGGATCAATGGCTTCTGAAATACTCAGACCTACCTGTCATGGGCTAAGAACAATGCTCCATTCAAAGTGAGCTGAAACCTCTCTTCTTCACTCTGATGCTTTAATTTAACTTAATCTTCACTGCCAAATGCCTAAATGCATAAGGAGTTTCTGCCATCTGGTTGGCTGAGTCGATGATGGTGTGAACTTGTCTAAGAAAGGCTTCACTGGGTGTATTTTGGGGTATTTTATGTGTCTTAATATCTATTAGGATTTTATTCCTATATAAAAGATTGTGATTTCATGTTGCATTCCTTTTTGTGATGAAAAGTGAATCAGTTTATTCAGTGTTGAAATCATTCTAATAATTACAATGGTTTAAATAGATTTGAATAGTTTGTATTTTCTGCCATTTTGGTGTATTATATCTAATACATGGGATTATGTTTCCAGGACATTACAGAAAATCCCAATGCTTTTTAAAGACATTGGAATAGATTTTTTCCACATTTTTACTATTGGCATCACATCTTTGTATATCCTTGAAAAGCACAAAAATATACAAGCATTTGTCTGCATGACCCATAGTTAAAAAATATTTTTAAAAAGCTGTAGGAATACACAGAGATGGGAAGTAACTAAGTACAAATACTTTGTTACTGTACTCAAGTAGATTTTTCTGATATTTTTACTTTACTTTACTACTTATTTTTATGGCGACTTTTTACTTCTACTCCTTACATTTTTACACAAATATCTGTACTTTCTACTCCTTACATTTTAAAAAATTGGCTCGTTACTTTAGTTTTGAATCATTTCAATGGAGTTACCGTTATTATTTTTCACGTCATCAATACCAAATTCAATCTAATTGGATGGGAATCTACGTTGCATTTGACGCACCACTACAAGATGAATCGACAGATTCGGCGGTATTCATTTCGCAGTAAATCATTGCAGCTTGGTGGCGGTGGCGTTAGCATAGTAGTATGGACGACGAGATGATTGAAAATGAACACAACGGAGATCTAGTCCTATTGGCAGACATCCATTTAAAATGTAGGCAACGGCATGAAAAAAGTGGTTTCTACTTTTACTTTTATACTTTAAGTAAATTTACAAGCCTGTACTTTGTTACTTTTACTTGAGTAAAGAAGTTTAATCAGTACTTCCACTTTTACCAGAGTATTTTTTAACACAAGTATCTGTACTTTTACTCAAGTACGGAAAGTGAGTACTTTTGCCATCTCTGGGAATACACACAGACACACTACTACCTCCCAGTCCAATAAATGTAGTTTGCACTGCGTTATGTTGGCAATGTATTGTTTAACTGCATCTGACTGACACTGATGCTGCTAAAAACAGAATTTATTGTAACCTGTACAGTGAAAGTAAAGCTTAATTTTCTTGAAGGGGTGTCCCATTTGTCTGTGTGATATTGGGACTTCTCCTTGAACAAATTGCAAGGGAATACAGAGAGGTGCAGTTGTGACACTAGTAATTGTATCCAGGTTTTAACCTGTTCAAACAACAAGTGTTTGTAGGAATATGGTGCACATGATGGAACAATATAAATCTTGTCTTATGAATGGTTAAACTGTTCCTTTTTAAGGTTTTGTATTAACGGTTGTAATATTTGTTTAATGAATGGAAAATCCTGACCACAGTCACATGTATATTCTCCCTTGTGAACAAGCAATTTGACTCTCTGAATCATTTAAAAGCCACAGATGGTTTGAAGAATCTGCCTCCCAAAGTGTTATATCCCACTTGCAAAAAAAAAACACACAAAAAAAACCACATCTTTATCTCTTGTGACTAATGCATCCTGCACCACACCAGGTCAGCCTTAGAGGGCTGTGTTTGTACCTGTGCCTATATCCTAAGTAGTCTTCTTTAGAAGGAAGGCGTGTCAGCTGGTCATTGATTGCTGCCAAAAGGAGGGGCTTAAGTGAGCAGATTGTTGCCCCTGGCAGCTCCCAAACTGTTCCAGCCTGGCTATCAGTTACAACCAGTAGAAGTAGAGTTTATAGACTCGCCTCTTGGATTCTAGTCATCTGAGTTGGACTTGGGTTTGAGCTGCTTTCTACTCCGTGCACACGTGCTTCAAGATGCTCTGCCCCTCCCTGCACAGAGCCAACATGATCTCCTCTTTTTTTACTGCAGCACAACAGATAGCATCTAGTTGATGCCAGACACACTTAAAGCGATCTCCTGATTGGTAGCTGAACAAGAGAATACTAAACATAAGGACCAAATGCTTATATTCCACACAACTCATGGATGCAGTTGCTTTTTTTTTCTGCTGAGACACTTTAAATATCCTCATGACTCGCGTGGAACCAGGGTAGTGTTACCACACATGACAGGGCTTTAGACAGCCACCAGTCTGATCCAGGGGGCAAATTTGTGGGTGCCCGACCGACCCGGCGAGGACCTTTGCTTCAGCAGCATGAGGTGAGCACCTGATGGCTGCTTTTGTTTTGTGTTTTCTTAGATTTTACAGTCAGATGTGGAAATTTACAAGAGCTTTCATGAGCAGTCTCATGATGGGAAACGGTGATGTTTTTTGCGGTTCAGTATTGCATTTAAAAAAAAAAACATCAAAACCACTTTTTCTATTCAGAGGTTTCTGTATTTTCGCACCTCCATCAGCAGCTTGTTGACTAAAATAGAAGTGCTGCTGTGACTTTAGCTATTCTTCTATAGATTGCATTTTTACACATATTTTTTAAGATAGCTGTAGGTTGAACAGGATATTTCTTTCTATAAATTCATATCCCGAGAGCTAATATGAATATAAAGTCATAGTGAGTGCAGTTAAGAAGTAGCTGTCTGACAAGAGGAGGCAATAACAAGCCCAGGTTGGAGCCGTGTACAAAAGATAACATGGATTGGTGTCAAACATTAATGGGTCTCTGGTTTATATGACTAGATAGCCATGGTAACTCCTCTATAGTCTAAGGAAAGGAACAATGAGCGTCTTTCTTTTTCCGGACTATATTGTAATCTATTGAGGTTGCACAACAGCGAGGATAGATTGTTATCCAATACAGATGAGATGCAATAAACTAGCTCTGCAATTAAGGTGGCAAAGCGAGAATTAAACCTTAAAATACAGATAGCTGTGTGAAAAAACTGTTCCCAATGTTGTCTCGAGGTGACTTTACAGACAGGATACATTGTCTCTAGTGGGATTTTTTTTTTTTGGCTTCCTAAAGCTGTGAACTTTCAGGCCAGAAAGCTAAACCAAAGATGTGATTGTGGTGCATGGGAAGCACTGTTACAGCTCACAGCTTCTCCATAACGTCATTTCTTTCGATTTCATATGTAACCAAACACTTTTAGCCTAGTCTATCGTACTTTAGCTTTTTGTTGTTTCTTGCTCCAAATGTAAATGGAGAGCAAAAAGAATAGAGCGTGCAAAGTTGGATTTAATTTCTGATGATCTATGCTTTTTCCTTTATCATCCTGTTTGTCCTTCTGACTCTCCAAGCATTAGTCTATTTGTCTTTCAGAGGCGGCTGCATGCTGACATTTTTCTTTTAAGTTGAAGTTAAAAACAAACCACTGGCCTTAGTTTTCCAAGTTTGAAGACATTTCACTCCCCATCAACGATGCTTTCTCACTTCAAAATGTCTAGAGTAGCTTTTAGTTCCAGGCTTTATACAGTAGCCCCAAAAAAAGCCTTGTTATATCTTAGAAATACATTCGAATTGAACCCAAAAAACAGGTCCATCCCTTAGTAATGTCCTTAAGGTTGTTGTTGGCCTGTAAAACCTGATGCTGTCCCATGCCTCTGAAAAGGGAATTGTTAGGGTCATCATTGGCCTAGCTGACAGGCGAGATGTTTTGGTCCCCTGCATGGCGATGAGGATTGAGATGGTTTGATTCTTTTTACTTTTTCAACTTTTTTGGAATTATAACTATGACTTGGATGACTGAGAATCTTCACCACCATATAAAATTTTTCTGGTTTTCCTTGACTCTTCAGTCTATGACAACCACTGTGCTTGGTGACCTTTGAGTTAAGCAACATAATCTTGTTTTGATGGGTTTGGAGTTTTGTAGGTCTGGGGGTTTTTGTCCAACGTCTACAAAACTAAAGTTCATCGCAAGTATAGCTACCCAATGAAGCAGTTTGTTTATAGTGTACTAGTATTTGAAATTCTTATTTGTATTCTAAATTCTGAGTTAATATCATTGTTCCCTGATTCCATGTTTTTTTTTTTTTTTTTTTTTGACGCCGCAGCCTACTCATAGAATCTCCTACCAGCAACATGCCTAAAACATAAAATGTTCCTTGATTTAAAACTTTTTTTTTTTTAATGTGCATGAGGGTCTCATTTTACGAAATGATAATACTATCTTAAAGAGTTTGGATAAATCCACATTTTCCTCCCTCCTGTTTGCGTGTTTTTCCTTCCAATAGCGTTTTTCCTCACTGTAACCTTTAGCATCTTGGGCTTTTATCAGGAGTTTGCATCGACTGGATGATCTTTATCCAACCGACTGAATATCTAATGGGAATGTAAAGATAACTTGATACATTGTTCAGGCCAACTGTGTCTTTTTGAACTTTTGCTCTCTTCAGTGTGTGACAAACATGCTTCTTGGATGGTGTCATGTCATATGCTTTACCACCGAGTGGGACTCTAAATTTTGACGCAGGAAGTGAAACCAGTTTAGAGAGCCTCAACACCATGGCTGCAGCTTAGTTTGTATCTTATTTAACCCAGAGGGCTATCTGTAGCCAGCTGCATGTAACTCCAGTCTGATCTGTTTTTAAAGTCGGACCGGCTCCTGTTGCTCTGCTTTTTTAAGAAGACATCAGGATGCGTTGTATATAAACAGATGGAGACTATCCCACCTACTGTAATGCACTTATTGAGAATCTGTGTGGTTTCTAGATTGATGAGTGAGGGCGACATGCTTTAGTTTATCACAGCAATCACAGTATTTCAAGCCTGATCGTAGGGTGATTAAATCTGCTAAGAGGAAATGGGCAGCCGGGATGTTTAGGCTGAAGGTTGGCATTCCATTCATGGGAAAGGCGGTTAAATCTACAGGCGAACCGTAACATCCTGAAAAAACTCCATTCAGCTTTTCCAACAGCATAGCAAATAATGGCATTCTAAAAAGCACGTTTTCGACACAAATCTGTTCATTCTGAGAGATGAATGTAGAGACACAGGCATAGACTTCTAATCTCTACACCCATTACCATTTGTCCCATGCCTCAGCACTTCCTCTGCCTTTCATCACACCTCTTTTGTCTGCAAAACGTAGTGGATCCTTTGGCACACCGGCCACAGAGAGTATACCTCACCCTTTGTCTCCTCCACTACTCCTCTCCTCCACTTCTATTTGTTCTCCTGATTTATGTTGGAACCAAAGCGGTGGAGGAGTCATTTTGAAATGGAAGAGAGGGATGATGATGATAAAGATGAGGAAGGAGTCTAGCTGCACCCCATAATGCATGCATAATGAAACAAATAAATGGCTTTCTCTCTTCCATAATTGGTCACTTTCTAGATTAAAACTCTGCTCATGTAGTATTTTCCTTGGCATTATGAGAGGCGTCAGTCAGGAAGTTGAATATGAGAAATCAAAAGCTTTTCCCTCAATTATAACAAGGAACAAATTAATGTTTTAAATTATCATTTAAATTTGAATAGTCAAAAGGCCTTTTTTTTCTTGAAGCTTTTAACTCATGCAGTAATTCAGCTAGGAACCATGCCTCCCTGTGAGAAAGAGGAAATTGTGACCATGTAAAGTAAAAGCAAATGTCCTCTTTCTAGATTTTAGTACCATAACACAGATTTTTTCAGTTGAGAGGAAGTGAATCAGTTCCATTTTTAAATAAACGTTACTATATCTACAGTAAAAGATCAGATGCTGGGGTTGGTCTGGCTGATGGTTTCACTTAACCAACCAGTCAGACGGTAGTTCTCATGCACTACTTTAATCTGCTTGTTTATCTTTTACAGGGTGAGTGGTAAGATGAGTGGCAGTACCATGGAGCTGAATAGCAGCAGCCAGCGTGGGCCCAGCGAGAGCTCTGTCTCTTCTGTGCGGAGCCTGGGCAACATTAGTCTGCCAGCTGCATCCACTGACAACCTGACAGCTGATACTGGTAAGTCAGTCACAACAAATCAAGTCCATTTGAGAGGATTTACTCCAACAGGGACATGCACAAGGAATCTAGAGCCTTGTCTCAGGTTTATTAGCATTAGTATCACCACTACTTCCTCACATTCAACTAGCTGAAAGGGCAAATGGAGCGCTGCAAGGTTATATTTACCCACTTATCGTTTACCCTCCTTCTTTATGTTATGACTGGGCGTGTTTAAGATTTCTAAAGTCTTGCAACCTGCAACGTGGCTCCTATTGAGTGGCATTTGTCCTTGGCGTATCAGCCCTAAACCTCGGTGGCTCTCAGACGCTTGTTATTGCCACAACTTCCTGTGGAAAGCTGTTTAAAGAGATAATTATGGACTCTGATAACGAGGGAAAAAAGGGCTTGGCTTCATCAGAGTACTTCTTTTTTTCTGTCTTTATGCTTCTCTCGTCACTGTGAAAGCAGTTATTGAAGACTGCACGGCACAATTACCTTGCTGTCTGCCTCCTTTAGGGTAATGCAGAGTCTTTAATTGAAATGAGTGGATTATAATCGGGTGGAAGATGTTTTTGAGTGTTGGCTTGAAGCAGAGATTGTGGAAAGTTCCAGCTCTTTTGAGGAAATGAGGTATGTGTTTATACGTAGCTGAGCAGTTAGAGAGGGGGTGTCATTGACAATTGAGCTTAACAGTAAGAAATATGAATCGGTCACAGTTGGACTCTCAGAAATAAGAATAAAACTGAATTTGTTTGTTTACTATGCTGACACGTTGTTCTTGGTTATACGACAGAACATGCAACTTTTTTCTCATCACTAAAAGCCTTTTTTGAATATTTCTTTTAGGAGAAAAAACTGAATCTTACTGATATAATAAAAGCCACTGATGCATATTTTTTTTTTCTACTTAGGGTCTCGGGATTCTGCACGGATGTCTTGTTCTTCACCGTTTCCCAGAACCTCTGTGGCATCAGCTCCTGGTTCACCTCACTCTTCGTCTTTCAGCAGCTTGAATCACCAGCCACCTCCTCTTCCGGAGAAGAAAATGGTCAACCGCACCGTGTCTGCTCCAGATAGCGCCAATGGCAAACCCTTTGTCAGGGCTTACCCACGCCTCCCGTTTGCCGGCTCTGAGAGCAACGTATGCCGCTCTGCTGATGCCAGCTCCCGCACCAGCCTGCCATCAAGCCCAGTTGACGCCCGGCCCGTTTTCTCTTCAAACGAGTCCTTGGACCGCTGTCACCTCCCTCTGGCACGGCCCTCAAAGTCCAGAACCCTGGATGAGCAGCAAAAGGCTCAGGGACGCTTAGGAGTGCACTGCCGGACCAGCATCACCTGCTTGTCCTCGCCCCAGCTTAGCGCCCCCTTCTCGGCCGCAGAGGCAGGCTCAGCACCGAACCTCGGTTCCAGCTTGCAGCTCCAGAATCTCCTGAGTAATATCGACAGCAGGGAGGGGGTGTACTCTAAACTGGGTGGCCTGTATGCAGAGTCGCTGCGACGCTTGGCCCTTAAATGTGAGGATCACTTTACTCGCTCCCAGAAGAATCCACTCAGGTTTGACGAGAGCAACTGGTCATTGTTCAGACTTACTTCTAACAAGCCGAGCTGCAATGCAGGAGATGCTGTTTACTACTCTGCTGCCTGTGCCTTGGACCCCAGAAACTCCTACGCTGTAAAGGTAAAATACTATTGATTCAACTGATGACTTGATGAATAGCTGCTGGACAATTAAGGATGCAACTCAAGAAAGATTTAATTCAGTAAAGAGATCTCAGTATTTTCATTTCTTATCTCTTTTTATCTCTTATCTTTTATCTTTTTATATCAAAGAAGTCTTTCTTCTTGTTAACTTTCTTTGAAGTCTTGATGAAACTTCTCACTGTCTCAGCATCTCAGGATTAAGTTCCTCTGGCTGTTTCACAATAAAAGCCTCAGAGCTCTTTGGGCACATTCACAAGCTCCAGTAAACCCATAACTTAACCCAGTGGTTGTCAGCTTTTCAACGCCCGATTAAAAGGATTACTTCCAACCCTGAAGTATGACTGGAACAAAAGGCATGCTAACCTCACCAACAGTTGTTAGCAGTCATTGCTGATAGCACATCCCTGCTAGACTCATGTTCAGAAGCACAACTGCAGCATTTGACTTTTGAATTTAACTTCTTTATGTGTTTGGCCATAAATGATTAGTTATGTTACTATAAGCTGTGTTGTAGTTAATTTTACGCTAGTCAACTCAAAGCTGTGCAATCAAACGGTTTTGCTCCTGAGCCCTCATCCTACAATGCGTCACTCTGTGAACAGGCTGCATTCTCAACAATATAGACTTCCAGACAGCATGGGGGGTTTATCCATCAAAGAAAGCTGTTAAAATAATATAATACCCCTGTTTTGTGGCAAATAAATCAAATTCACTGGTAAAACCTCATCACAACCATGAGTTCAGCTAATAAAAAACAAAAAAGTTTAACAAAGAACAGCCTTAACTACCAATTAAATACTTTCATCTTTGAGTGATAACATGCTATAAGTTTTAACTACAGTGGTGGTCCTTAGTAACGACTGAAATTTGATAAGGAATGAGGATACATCTGTCTGTTTTAGTGACCAGTTATTCTCATGACATGACAGGTTTACATAAAGTTAAGATGGAGAATAATAAAGGAGTCATTATATGAAACACTCCTGAGCTGTTGCTGTGAAGCCTTTTCACTATTGTTGTTAAGGGCTTAAATATCTGGTGGGTGTGAATGCATAAAAGAACTTGAAAGTTGAAAGAAAAGTTGTGGGAATGAAAACCATGCAGTTGCATTATTGTTGGTCTACAGGTGGGATGGTCCTGATGCAGTGCAAACCTTCAGAACAGATAGAGTAAACAAGCAGCCAGCAGGGTGTGGATCCTGTCTGGCTGATCTTTGTGCTCCCGTTGGTGTTGCTGAACAAAGCGGCAGCTCTTTGTGTTGTATGTGTCACACCACCGGCTATCCACCCAGAGTATTGCTTAATGTCTCCAGCCACAATTAATCTTTACATTCCAGGAAGGCTTTATAGACAGACAAACCACCGTTGTCAGGGCCAACCCTCACACTGATGCACAGCGCAGCACGAGGACATCCTTCAGAAGTGGGGGTCATAAACAGACACACAGTCAGTTTGGGTTTTTAACAGGATGACTGTGTTGGCAAAATCTTTTTAGGTTTTAGAAATGCGGATTCTTTAGATTTGGTTGTTTTTGTTTTGTTAGATTAAGGATGAGACCATAGCCACAATAAAAACATTGTTAACATTTTATGAGATGGGTGTTTGGTTGTGTTGGGTTTTTTTGATTTAGAAAGTCTGTCAGGATTTTATTAGGATGGTCCAGGATTTCTGGAGGTTTAATTAAAAAATGTTTGCAGCTTACTTTAAATCTGAGGCTAGTCTGTGGGAACAAATATCTCAGCGGACTCCAGTCTGAAAAGCATTTTCATTTATGCATTACGATTGCCATAATGTTGGATTATTTACAAAGGAACCGATTATTGTGTGTAAATAAAGTGAAGGAAGGAGGTGTTGCACCGCCAATGATCTTCCTCCATAAAACAACTAGAACCAAATAAGAAAAACAGCCCCAACCTTTAGAAACAGCCACTGTTTTTGAAAAAGCTTTAAACTGTTACCCCAACCTGCTGTACAGAATAACCTGAACCTTTGACATCCCAATACAATCTTAATGGTGTTTTCATTCATAAAGAAATGAAGGATGATATACATGTGCAAGTGGAGGTTGAAGGCAGTGCACCACCAAGGGGCAAAGAAAATAAATTTTTTGATTAGCTACTTAATAGAAAGTGAGATGCTGCAAAAACAAAACAATAAAATCTTATTAACTAAAACATATATTTTAATGTTTAACACAAACTTTTCTATTTTTACTAAATTGTTGTGACCAGAAATGCTCTAAATGGTTGTTATCCGTACCCACTGTGTTCCACTCAGACAGGAACAGCTGTGTAAATCACAGCCCAGTGCCAACATTGGTTATCAGTATAACGTTAATGTGAACTTAGATGTTTTTATGACTGGCCTTGTTTTAAGAAGGTTACGTTCACCATGGCGTTGGTTCTAGCCTCTGGGTCCAAATGATCTGTATTATTAAAGATGCCCTGTGATGATAATGATGATGATATATTCACCTTTTGTGCATATGGTGTTTTATTTGTCTTCTCTTACTCTTGTCTTGTTTTCATTTCCTCTACAGATCTGTAAGAGTTCATCCATTGAGAGCAAACAGGGTCATCTCTACGGTCTGACTGTGCAGCAGATCATCCCTACTCATTTTAACATTCAGCAGGATTGTGGTCACTTCTTGGCATGTGTTCCTCAGAGCATGCTTCCCTCGGATGAGGTGTCTCTGCGAGCTGCGCCGACTCCTGTATCACCACAGTGTGCAGCATCTGCTCAGGCTCAGCAGGCGGAGCAAGAGAGAGTGGTGGTCATCACTCCTGAGATCCCCCATCAGACTGCTGCTGACTTTGTACGGGAGTGGGAGATGTTTCATAAAACTCAGCCTGAAGTCTACGAGCGCCGTGTTTGCTTCCTGCTCTTGCAACTATGCAATGGCCTGGAGCACCTGAAGGAGCATGGGGTCACACACCGTGATCTTTGTTTAGAAAACCTGCTTTTAGTCCCTCGCCAGAACAGGGCCTCCCTCCTTGGTCAGAGCGGTGCTGACAGCGGTTCCTCCAATGCGGCACCTGCAGGAGATGTTCAACGCCACCTTCCGCGTCTCCTCATCAGCAACTTCGCAAAAGCCAAACGTCGATCATCAGAGGATGCGGCTTCAACGAATGGGGACCCTCGCATTAAGCGTGACCACGCCAGATTGGCCCCCGAGATCGTCTCTGCCGCTCAGTATCGTAAATTTGATGAGTTTCAGGCTGGAATTTTGATCTACGAGCTCCTTCACCAGCCCAACCCGTTTGAGGTGAGTCCAGCGCTGAGAGAACAGGACTACCGCTGTGAGGACTTGCCTCCTGTGCCCCCTGTCTCCATTTACTCCTCAGGCCTTCAGAGGCTAGCACAGCTCCTCTTACAACCAGACCCCATCAAACGCATCCACATCCAGGAGGCTAAACGGATACTTCAGAGCCTGCTCTGGGGCCCCAGGAGAGACCTGATGGAACAGCAGTGGGAGCGGCACAGGCGAGGCGGGATGTTCGTTGATGGGTCACGAAACGAGGGCCTCCTCAACTGGCTGGACGTTAAAAGGGCCCTGCTGATGATGAAGTTCGCCGAGCGCTCGCTGGAGCCAGAGAGAAACGCAGAGCTGGAGGACTGGCTGTGCTGTCAGTACTTTTCCACGGCTCACCCTCTGTCTCTCTGCCATACGGCTGAACTGCTCTACTCCCTGAAGTGACAGCTCACATGTGTGACCGGAGCTGAAATCATGTGTGAACTTGTAAACGTGTGAATGAGAACATTAATGTCCAGACACTACGGACAGAACTGTGAACCTGCTAATGTTACTGCTGCGTGCATGGAAGCCATAAATCACCAACATCCACCAACGATGGTCTCATTAGGGTCTGAAAAAAATGACCCTGAGGAAGTAAGAGATGCACCAATTTCCAAGTTGGTTTTATTTTTATGGCTTTCTTCTGCTAAAAGTGAACAGCAATAAAAAATGGATCCCATCTTGAGAGGTTAATTCTTTATATTGAGGAGAAGAAAAAAGTGTGTGTGGGTTATAAAAAAAAAAAGACAAGATGGTAAATTTTTATGGCTAGTGTAACAGACAGCAGTTTCCATGGTTACTTGTTTAAAGTGAAGATCCTGGACTGAATTTTGAGATGTCAAACAGTCTGCTAACATTTACAGACTGTTTCCTACAGCAGACAGATGGATAAAACAACTTTTTGGTACCTGAATTAGCCTTCCTGTTATTAGCTCTCTAATCTAAGACTTACTCCCAATGTAACTTCTTCCAACCTGAAGAGTGTTAATATCACTTTGCATTTAACCCATCCCCTTGGGGAGCAGTAGGCTGCCATCGTGGGGCGGCCGGGGAGCAATCAGGGGTTAGAGCCAGAGTGGCAGTCTGTGGGAGCTCTATAGCCTAACCAGTGGGGCCGTCAATCCCCAGTGTTGACATCAACATTGTAGCTCTTGGTCTGGTTCAGGTCTGGGCCGATCAAGCTGTTAATCGTCAGTCATCAGCCAATGTCTCTGTGCATCTCTATTAGAAAGAGTGGTTATAATAACAAAATGCGGTTACCAAAGCTTCTTATTTGATACTCTTTGTATTTATTTAATAGATGTGGAGACAGTTTATGCACTGTGAAAGCGTGACTTATAACTCGACTTTGTTGTCCGCTCATAACTTTTCTACATTTACATCTAATTTCTTCTCAAAATAGGACTTGACAATTCTCAGTTGGACCTCTGGCACCTTCTCTTCCATGTTCTAAGTCGTAAGCACTTAGTGCTAGACTGTGAAAACAACCTACTGCAGAGAAAGTCCTTTCTGGTGTGATTAACTTGCCACAATGATCAACAAACCCCTGCCAATATACTGATTGTCAACTTTTCCCAGGCTCTGATGACTTTCGTCACCTTTGAACATTCTTACATTTGTTCCAGTGCCTTTCATTCTTTGCATGTTACAGTGATTTGAAACAAAATGTAAATATCTTTCTGATAATTTCTGCCTTGTGAAACTGGCCTTTCACAGAATGTTCCGGTAACAACTTTGTACAGATATTTGTAAATGATTTTCAAAAGCAAATGTGAGCCCAAGCAGGTCTTAGAAAGCCATGAATATGAGCTGCAGTTATTATTTATAATGAATTTTGTTTTCTTATTGAAGTCACTGGAAATTTGTCTTTGTTCACTGTCTTTTATATATGCATATTTTTTCTTCTGTGATTTAAGTTTTCCTTTTTTTACCCCAACACAAATGCAAAATAAACTGTGTGGTATATGTACTGCATGCAGGTTTATGACCATGACAAATTCAGATTTATTTCTTTTTCTGAGAAAACATCCTTTGAACTAATCCATAAGGGATTTGGGATTTTGAGTGCAAAATTTATTTGATTTTTGCTTCTCTCCTACTTGTGTCGCTCAATAAACTGTGCATATATTTTCTCACAGTTAATATTGCGTCTTTTTTTATGTGTGTTTTTTGTGTGTTGTTATGGAGAACATGTTGAAAAATGTCAGAAGTGCGGGATGAGTCATATTGCAGCTCCACCCTGAGCTGCTAAATAAAATGACAGTATCCCACCTGGACAGTATTTTTCTAAAAGTTGTGGCAAATAAATATTTTTAAAAGTGGAGTTTAGCTGTTGGACTCAAAGTAGCCAAAGAACAAAATAAAACCTAAACTTCCACATATTGTTTTTAATGTACAGCTGAGTGTTAGTAGTGCAACAGAGCTGGATGTTACAGGAAGTTGGAAGAGTAACAGTCTAAAACTTCCCCTAACATGCCTACATTTGGAGTATCTCTACTATGTGATAACCGCTATCTGGCACTAATTAAGATGGATTAAGCTCCCTGTCAAGGATATTGCTTAAAATGTTGGCCAACAAAATAACCATCTATCAATGAGTTATGTCCTGCCAGATGTTGCTAGAATAACACTATGAAAAATGTATTCAGTTGCATAATAAGGTATTAATTATTTATAATTTATTTAGGAAGAAGAGACAGAGCAAAATATAGTTTAAAAAAAATATATATAGATGAAATCTGATGTTTAAATGTTTAATTGTACTTTTTTTGGAGCTAAATAATGTGCACATTTTTAGTTCTCATCCTATAGAAGGGCATACAGTTATAATTTGATTAGAAAGAGATCAGTGAGAGGATTTATTGAAATATGCAAAAATGTATTCCAACAACTCTTCCTGTCTAATAGTCTCATCATGTAGAAGGACTGTGGTGTTCTACGATACTAGAATGTTGTTCATGTTAACAGATGATCAACTTTCATTTTTTTCAATATAAGTGCTTCCACCACCCTTTGCAGTGACGACTGTAAAATGTGCCAATGGGTCTTTTACATCACAAGGTTTTTTCTGCATAGTTATATGAATTTGAACATTCATCCATCTTCTTCCATCACTGGTGTAGGTTGGTGTCTTATCTTCAGCAGGCTATGGGTAAAAGGTTGGGCATTTGTATGTAAGGGTAAAAGAGATGCCAATCAACCTAACAGTCGGGATTTTGGACTATGGGTGGAAGACAGAGCACCCAAAAACAGAACCCCCACATGCACAGGGTAAACATACAAACTCTTTGCAGAAAGACCTTAGACTGCTAATCTATCTCAGCAACATCCCTGTTGCAAAGCATCAGTGCTACAGACTGCACAAACCATGTATCTCTAGTTTTTAATAATGAATGGGCTATGCCACATGAACTCAATGAGTGGAGATCTCTAAATCACTCCATAGCCTTTTCATTTTTTTTTCTTTGTATTAACCTTGCAGAATAATATTAATAATAATAATCAATAAGTGTGCATATCCATAAGATCAAAAATTGATAGACCGTCATTCTCCTCCAGGATTTTCTGGAAGTGAGGAGAATTTATGGTTCCACCAATTACAGGATGTCATTCAAGTCCTAAAGAAAATCAGCCTTCAACCATCTTACTACCACCACTTTAATCATTTTTATAATAGCCCAGAAGTATTGGGTTCACAAAGTTTTTTACTTATTTTTTTGACAAACTTTAAATGTTTTTGGTCATCATGGGGGGTTTCTCTTAGAGATATTTTATTCCACCCGTGTTTATCGTTTTGTTCAAACATGAACTCGACAAAATTTGGTTAATCTGCATTGCTTTATAGATTTTCCCGGGCTTTTGCAGTTTTTTGAAAAGTGTTGTGCTGAGAGGTGTGGTGTGGAAGGAAAAATCCAGCAAAGTTGGTTGGAGCAAAAACAAAAGGTCATTTATTAAGGTTCTTCCATCAGAGCATGGTTATACTGAACACAAAATGGCAGCTTTCCCATCAGACTCTTACTACAGCAATCAGTCCACCTATATACTGTTATCCCCGCCTTCTCAATTTACCCACAGCCAATCAAAGTTCAGCCATCATGGCTCCCTCTATAAGAGAGCTGGGTTTGAGGCGGGCCTCCTCCTTAGCAAGGTTCCAAGATGGCTTCTAAAAAGGAAACACCCACAAAGGTAACAAACAATTCAAAAAACAAAAGAATCACATACACACACTCTAGAACCTGAACATTATAGAAAATCTTATTGCTTCTTAACATTTACTCACTTCCTCCCCCCTCTGGTTCACAAAACTGAGGCAAACGAGAAAGGTAGTCAGCAATCAGATTTTTCTTACCTGGACAATGCTGTATGGTGAACTGGTATGGCTGAAGGGCAAGGCACCAACGAAATATCTGTGCATTCTGATGCTGCTTGGAGTGCATCCATTTCAGAGGTCTATGATCGGTTTGCAAAGTAAACTCCCTTCCTAGGAGATAATATTTTAAAGAGTCCAGAGCCCACTTTATTGCAAGTCCTTCCTTTTCTACTGTGGAGTACTTTTTCTCTCGGTCAAACAGCTTTTTACTTAAGAAAAGGACAGGTTTTTCTTCACCAGCTTCTCCCTGAGCGAGCACTGCTCCAAGACCAACATTTGAAGCATCCACTTGAACAATAAATGGCTTGGAAAAGTTAGGACTCTGCAAAACAGGAGCTTGACAGATCAGTTTCTTCAAAGATTGGAATGAATGTTCACAGTCATCCTTCCACATGATTTTAGAAGTAGATCTTTTTGTTAACTCAGTCAAAGGGGCTGCTAAAGTTGAGAAATGGGGTATAAATCTCCTATACCACCCAACTAAGCCCAAAAATGATCTCACTTGCTTCTTTGTTTTGGGTCTGGGGATTGTTTGAATGGCTTTTACTTTTTCAAGTTGTGGCCTTATTTGTCCATGGCCAACAAGGTAACCCAGATATTTAACTTCTTCTTGCGCCCATGCACACTTGTTCACATTCAAAGTGAGACCAGCCTTCTGGATCTTTGCCAACACATCCTCAAGGTGTTGTAGGTGATCCTCCCACGTCTCACTGTATATCACAACATCATCCAGGTAGGCAGCAGCAAACTTTGAACAGTCATTGAGAATAATGTCCATCAACCTTTGAAAGGTAGCTGGTGCCCCATGAAGACCAAAGGGTAAAACAGTATAATGGAATAAACCCATTCCTGGAATCTGAAAAGCTGTGTATTCTTTACAGGATGGATCTAAAGGGACTTGCCAGTAACCTTTACATAAGTCTAAGGTTGTGATGTATTTGGCCTTCCCCAATCTTTCCAGTAGCTCATCAATACGTGGCATGGGGTAAGAATCAAAACAAGAAATGCTGTTCAACTTTCTTAAGTCAGAACAAAAGCGTAGTTGAGATGAGTCCTTCTTGGGAACAAGCACAATGGGATTTGACCACTCACTTCTTGATGGCTCTATCACTCCCATTTCCAGCATTGTCTGGACCTCCTGTTTCAGTGGTTCCATCATCTGTTGGGGAATCCTGTAAGGCTTAAGACGAACAGGTGTTGTGTCTTTCAAGGTTATTTTGTGTGTTATGACATCAGTTCGCCCAGGTACATCTGCAAACAGTGATGGAAAAGATTGTTTAATCTCACCCAGCTGTTGCCACTGGTCTGGAGTCAGATGCTTTGGAGCCTCTTCAGATTTGGCCAATTTTCTGCATGGACTCATTTCAGCTTCTCCATCCATCAACATGGCACTGTCTTCAGGCTGAATGTCTTGTACCATCAGGGTTTGCTTCACATCCATTTCTGGAAAATTTCTTTCATGATACTCCTTTAGCAGATTTACATGGAGCAATTGCTTTGACTTTTGTTTTTCTGGACAAGCAATTTCATAAGTTACCGGACCTGCTCTTTTAATCACAGTGTAGGGTCCTTGCCATTTAGCTAGTAGCTTACTTGGTCCACTGGGCAAAAGTACTAAAACTTTCTGGCCAGTTTTCAGCTCTCTTTCACGGGCATGTCTGTCATACCATACCTTCTGCTTGTGTTGTGCTTTCTGCATATGGTCTTTAACTTGTTCTCTGTATTTTTCCAGTTTGTCTCTCATTTGCAGTATGTAGGAGATGACGTTTGTTGTTGGTGAAGACCTTTTACTGGATCCAGATGCCCCTCCAGCCATCCAGTTCTCCTTCAGCATGTCCAAAGGGCCTCTAACGTGTCTCCCATAAAGCAACTCAAAAGGAGAAAAACCAGTTGAGGCTTGTGGTACTTCTCTGTATGCAAACAAAAGAAAAGGCAACCATTTATCCCAGTCTTTCCCAGTTTCATCAATAAGCTTTCTCAACATTTGTTTTAATGTACCATTAAATCGTTCTACCAAACCATCGGTTTCTGGATGGTATGGAGTAGTACGAATACCTTTTACTCCCAGTTGATCATAAAGAGTTTTCATCACTTGTGACATGAAATTGGTACCTTGATCAGTTAGAATCTCCTTTGGGATACCAACTCTGGAGAAAAGGTCTACCAAACACCGGACAATGTGTTTGACCTGGAGAGAACGTAATGGAAAAACATCTGGATATCTGGTTGCATAGTCACAGATAACTAATGCATATTTTTGACCATTACTGCTCTTAGGTAAAGGACCTATAATATCCATGGCGATTCTCTCATAAGGAACAGTCATTATTGGTAAAGTCTGCAACTGGGCACGGTCTGAAACTTTAGTGGGGGCTACTAACTGACAATCATGACATGATTTGCAGTACTCAATCACATCTTTATATAATCCTGGCCAATAAAAACGCTGAGCAACACGATTATATGTCTTTGCCTGTCCTAGGTGCCCTGACCATGGTACAGTGTGACCCAAATGCAAAATTACTGAACGGTATTCTTTTGGTACAACAAGTCTGGGTTCATCAATGTCTGCTAGATACAAAAGTTCGTCCTTTATAATAAAAGGCTCTCCTGCTAAACTTTTGAACTCCACAGTAGTCTCTTTTTCACCATCTTTGTTTGCTTTATCAAAGAGAGGTATCAGAGATGGATCATTTTCTTGTCTTTCTTTAAAGTTATTAGGAATTTGCCACTGGAGATCAACACATGGAATTAAAGGTAATGTAGGT